CGTAAGGTCACTGGGCAAATCTCTCCAAACTGAACTGTTGACAGTTCTTCCCCAGGGTTCCCCCCCAGGACACAGAAGGTTAATTGACCCATTCCCCCCAACTACGAAGTGCTTTTCAAAATGTTAGTTTTAAATCACGGAGCACAGGCTCCCCGACCGGCGAAGAGGAGGCAGCGGGGGCAAGAGGACTTGTTTCGACCAATTACCGAAATGACGAATTTTGGACAGGGAAGGTGAACGAATCGCTTAATTGGATTTCCGAGTCATGTCAAAACTGAGCCGAAGCAATCTAAGGAGCGGCGGGCCGATGTTTAGGACACATGAGTGGAAAGCAACTGGTGGATCCATCAGCTTCAAGTATCGCTAAGTAAAAATAATAACCGGCTGCTCAATTGTGCCAATTTGAGTAATGCATGTCAAAGGGGAAAGTCTGAATAAGGGTCTTCTCGGACCATTTAGAAATGGAAAAGTGTCCACGCAGAGAGAGGAGAAACGCCGAGCGCCAAAAGCTGAGCAGAAGGTCTTAACTTTCAAGAGAAAACTCTGTCTTAGAAATACCCCAAACAGAAAGGAGACAACTACAGGGAGGGTTAAGTTAGTTATTTAAACTAAAGAATCTTTGTCTAGTAAATAAATACAGGAAACCATCAGCAAAACCAACATGCGTCTACCTGCCTGTTTTATAACGCCAACCACAGACACAAAACCGCTAGAATTTGTGATGGAAGAAAAACTTCACAGTTGAGTAGGAAAACAGGGGATGCCTTCTGCTCTCCATCAAACCTGGGCAGGGGTAATAAAATAGGAATCAAAGATTTTATATATATATATGGCTATATGTATTGAAGACAGATAAAGAAGACAAAACAAGGACACCATAGCTCAGAAGTTCATTCCAGCTGCACAACAGCCTGGGTGTGTTTTTTTCTTCTTCATCGGATTTTGACCGCTGTGATTCTGGAGCAATCTTCTTCCAAAGCCCACCTCCAGGCCATTAAAAAGAAAAAAATTAAACAGCAGTTCAGGCAGATTTTCAGATATATTTGGCCATTAGCCAAAGCTCGGAAACTTGAGTTTTTGGGAGGCCAGCTCCTCAAATTCTAGGTGGGAGAGTCCCCCCCCCCCAAAAGGTAAAATTTCCAAAATCTGGGCATGGTTTAAGGCATTCCAGTAAGGTAAAGGCAGTAAAATAGCCATAATCTTATCGAGCGCATGCCCAAACTTGCAGGAATCTTAAATGGCTCCTTAGCTGCCACGCGATGCAAAAAGAAGCATTCGACATTCTGACAGATAGGGTTAACCATCACTGAATCCATCATTTGTTCTGACCCTGCTGAAACTCAGGCATTTATTTCACAAATTAAAAATATCACAATTTAACGTCCTTTGAATAAAAAAGGATCAGAATAAAACTTTGTGGTGGCTGTTAACGGATCTCAGTAACCGTGTCGTGCCTGTGGAACTCCTTGCCACTTGGTAATGTGAGACATCCCAGCGTTTGGTCTGTTTCCGTGAGTAAGCCATAGAAACCTCGGTCTTCCGGCGAGCGTTTGGTTATTCATCGCACGAGGCTCTTGTTTATATTTTGTCACTGGGGGAATTGTCACTCATCTGCAAGAAAGACAGGTTACTTACCTGTAACCATGGTTCTTTCAAGTGGACCTCTCAGGACTTTGAGAGTTTTAGGAAAACTTTTTTTTTGCTGTTCGGTTATTGTAAAACAGGCAAGATCGAGAGAGGTGTATGAACCATGTAAAGTCCATGTAGTGCACAAAAGTGTACGCCAGCGCACTAAAATATTTTTACCGGTGGGCAGCAGTTAAAGAACATGTAAAGATCTTAAAATGCCGGACGCTCCAAGGGATGCATGACATTGAAACCGTAAGGCACTAGGGCGCGCATTTGAATTTCCTCTTATCCAGGTTTGGAGGAAAGCCTTTTTGTCCGTTACATCCCCGCATCTAATCACTGGTTGTGGCTTTTGTGAAATTCAGATTCGCCATCTGTATGGTCCCGGGTGAGCAGACTTTGGCTCAAAAGCCTTATCCCTGTGGGATTAATGGGCCATTGAACACTGAAATGATTTCAACTACAATTTGTTACACTGATCGAAGTATGATAACGCACAAATTGCAAGCATTTTCCACACACTGAAAGGCAACGAGGCCGGTCTTGTAAAAAGGCACAGCATTTTAGTTCCGTATTTTTAATCTAGGTCTCAATCTACAAGAGGGACACTATGACGAGAGAAATAAACCCGGGATTTTGCAAGCGATCTGAAGACTGAGCATGGTGTGTGTGTGTGTTTTAAACTGACCGTTTAAATGCTGACGTTCAGGACTATTGTGAGAATATTGCGTTTTCTGCAGGCCCCTCTGGTGCACAAATCTGCATTTCTTTAGCATCAGCCATTCCTTGCTCTATCCCGTGGATTCTCCGCCAGGTTTCTAAGCGGGCAGCCAAGAAATGTGAGCAACGCCAACCTCAGAGAGGTAAAATAAACATTTGCCCATGAGATCCGTTGGCATGCGTCCTCTCCTTCCATGTCAGTGGAAGAGGAAACTGGAAGCCCAAGGAAGTCAAACCTAGCTCTCTGCTTGGCATGCACCTTTCCTTGTGAGATTTACACACACAGAGAGAGAGACCAACATGCACTTTTTGAGCTTAGCGGACCAGGGGTGCAAGGCAAAATATTAACTGTGCTCCAGCGGTGGACCAGAGGTCCGTTCCTGGCTTCTGGAAGAGAGAGAGAGAGAGATCGAGGAGATGCAGAGGGAGGGGGATCAGGACACAGGGTCTCGTGGTCTCTCGGGGACTCCCAGAGGCATCTGGTAGGGCCCCAGGGAGAGACCGGGAGCGGGCCTGATCCACCAGGGCGCTTCTGAGGTTCTGGTGAGATGCATGTATATAACTCACAAGATTAGGCCGCTGTATCTGGCCCATATCGGCATCATCGATGGCGTAGCCGCTGGCGGGTCACAGAGGGCAACCGACACGGCCTCCTCTCCCTGTCTATCTCATACACAAGCACAAACACACAAACCCCTTTGTTGCAATTCGACAGGCTCCTTGGCCCTACCAGGGTACCGATGAGGTGTGCAGGGACCCAGAGGGGAGAGCGGCCCTGCAGGGGGGGGGGGCGTAAAGAGGCCAACAGAACACAAGAATCTCTTTTCTGGACCGGCTCTGTCTCTGCTCAGCATCTCAGAATCATCCACCCACCCACCTCCTCTATAAAGGCTTGTGTGTGTGTGTGTAATAAACAGATTGGCAGTTGCGGGGGGGGGCGAGGTTTGCTCTCCCACCCAGCCTACATACATATACTGTACACACATAAACCTGTCCAGCCTACACAACACTCCCCTTGCCGCTGACAAATATACATACAATAGTTTCTCTCTCTCTCCCTGTACAAATATTTCTATCACCCCCACCTATTATGTATATGTGTGTTAATGCGTGTACGTATATAATTCTATCACACCATCTAGTAAGGAAACTATGTAGCTATGCATAGTCAATTATTATTGATAGACAGATCCATACACGTGCATGCACGCAGGTGTAATAAACACACCAGCAAGGTGTATATGTGTGTCCTTCCTAAAGGCTGGGGGGGGGGGAAGAGAGAGATCCAGGCTCCGCGGGAGGAGAGGGGAAGGGCATCCCCCCACCCCCACCCCACCGGCACGGCCAGAAGCTCTTCGTGGGAGGGGGGAATGGGGGAGACGACGACTCCCCTCTCTCTTCCTCCCGGGCGGGCTGGGGATGCTGGGCTCGAGA